CTCTCTCTCTCTCTCTCTGTCGCTCTCCCTCTCTCTTAAAAAATAGAAGAAGAAATAGAAGAAGAAAAAGAAAGAAAGAAAGAAAAAAAAAAAAAGTAGTCCAAATAAATGACACTTTAGAACTGTCATTTTAAGAATTCATTCTTTATGTACGAACCTTCAATGAAATCAATGGTATAAAATATAAGCAATCCTTGCCAATCTTTTCATTTTTTTTTCCCTATATATATATATATATATACTAGGATCAACTATATATATGATTTCAAGGATCGAAGAACATCCCATAAAATGGTTTACACATTGTGTATCCTTCTTCTTCTTCTTCCTCTCCAATCTCCTCCACACCTGGTGAAATTGTTACATTTTGAAAATAGCACTATTACCACTATCATCATCATCATCCTCGATCATCATCATCATCATCCTCGATCATCATCATCATCATCCTCGATCATCATCATCATCCTCGATCATCATCGTCATCCTCGATTCTTGATCATCATTATCATCATCGTCATCAGCACCATTACCATTATTATTATCATTATCATCATCATCATCACCGTTATTATTATCATCATTATTATCATTATTATTATCACCATCATCATTATCATTATCATTATTAACTACAATTATCATTATTATTATTATCATCAGTAATCCGTATCATATCTTTTATATTTGTGTTAGATGGGTCGAAAGAGTGAGTGTTGTAATTTGAAATGAAATACATATTTGTGATGTGATTGAATATGAAATAATTTTGATGATATAGACAAGAGATGAAGAAATTTTAGGAAGATTAGATAAGTGATATGAAAGAAATGGAAAATTTTTCATCTTCTTTCACTCCATTTATTATTATATTTCGTTTTTTCTTTTTTTTCTTACAAGTGTAATTCAATAAAAAAAAAAGAAAACCTGAAAAAAGATCACACCACACCTGTTCTATCCACTATCTTACCCTTATCAATTTCATTCTTTTTCATTTTTTT